TCACAAGGCTGCCCCACATTGTCAAGTATATCAGAGCCCCACACTTCCTTTGAAGGAGTGAGGTTGAATGCAAGACTGACTCATAGCTCAATGCCAAGTGGTACACGGCCCGAATCACCGGGTATGTGTAATCACAAGGCTGGCCCACATTGTCAAGCTTATCAGAGCCCCATCCTTCCCTTGAAGGAGTGAGGTTGAATGCAAGACTGACTCATAGCTGAACGCCAAGTGGTACACGGTCCGAATCACCGGGTATGTGTTATCACAAGGCTGCCGCGAATTGTCAAGCATATCAGAGCCCCACACTTCCCTTGCAGGAGTGAGGTTGAATGCAAGACTGACTCATAGCTGAACGCCAAGTGGTACACGGCCCGAATCACCGGGTATGTGTATTCACAAGGCTGCCCCACATTGTCAAGTATATCAGAGCCCCACACTTCCCTTGAAGGAGTGAGGTTGAATACAAGCCTGACTCATAGCTCAATGCCAAGTAATATACGCCCCGAATCACCGGGTATGTGTAATCAAATGGCTGAACCACATTGTCAAGCTTATCAGAGCCCCACACTTCCCTTGAATGAGTGAGGTTGAATGCGAGACTGACTCATAGCTGTCTGCTAAGTGGTACACTGCCCTAATCACCGGGTATGTGTAATCACAAGGCTGGTCCACATTGTCAAGTTTGTCAGAGCCCCACACTTCCCTTGAAGGAGTGAGGTTGAATGTAAGACTGACTCAAAGCCCAATGCCCAGCCATACACCATTATACACGGCACGATTCACCTGGTATGTGTGATCACAAGGCTCCCCGACACTGTCAAGCTTGTCAGAGCCCCACACCTCCCTTGAAGGAGTGAGGTTTAATGCAAGACTGGCTGATAGCTCAATGCCAAGTAATACACGGCCCGAATCACCGGGTTTGTGCTCGCAAGGCGCCCCACATTGTCAAGCATATCAGAGCCCCACACTTCCCTTGAAGGAGTGAGGTTGAATACAAGACTGACTCATACCTCACTGCCAAGCGATACACGGCCCGAATCACCGGGTTGTGTAATCACAAGGCTGCCGACAACGTCAAGCACATCAGAGCACCACACTTTCCTTGAAGTACTGAGTTCAAATGCAAGTCTAACTCGTCGCTCCTCAGCTAGTAACAGACGCCACGAATCACGGGGTATGTAGTCCCAAGTCTTCACCCCGTTATCGAGAATATCAGAGCCCCTCCACTTTCATTGCAGTGCACTACTGAGGTGCGAGGATTGCTCGGGATAGTACTCATAATCCTTCACTTCAAAATGTCAGAGGATTTACACCTCATTCTCAACATGAGAGACAAAGGCCATTGTCGTTAAAACCTCATCATCCATCATGAAGTAACATACAACCATGGAATGGATGCTGTTAGTTCCGTCTCTCTGCTCATTCCTTGCCATGTCCAACGTATTTTGAATCACTGCCTTCGGAGTCACAACATTGCCCCACATTGCAAAGCATACAAGAACCTCAAAATAGACATTATAGAAATGAGGCTGAATGCGACAAAGAATCATTCCATTGCCAAAATAACGGACATTCCGAATCAGCGGGTATGCAGTCACTACACTTGCCGACATGGTCAAGCACATCACCGGGCAACACTTCCCTTCAACGAGTGAGGTTGAATGCAAGACTGACTCATAGCTCACTGCCAAGCAATACACGGCCCGAATCACCGGGTATGTGTAATCACAAGGCTGCCCCAAATTGTCAAGCATATCAGAGCCCCACAGTTTCCTTGAAGGAGTGAGGTTGAATGCAAGACTGGCTCATAGCTGTCTGCCAAGCAAGACATGGCCCGAATCACAGGGTATCTGATCACAAGGCTGCCCCACATTGTCAAGCTTATCAGGCCCTCAAACTTCCCTTGAAGGAGTGAGGTTGACTGCAAAACTCATAGCTCACTGCCAAGCACCATATAGACTGCCCCTCATTGTCGAGCATATCAGAGCCCCACACTTCCCTTGAAGAACTGAGATTGAATTCAAGACTGCATCATAGCTGACTGCTAAGTGGTACACTGCCCGAATCACCGGGTATGTGTTATCACAAGGCTGCCCCACATTGCCAAGTAAACACAGCCCCACACTTCCCTTGAAGGAGTGAGGTTGAATGTAAGACTGACTCAAAGCCCAATGCCCAGCAATACACCATTATACACGGCCCGAATCACCGGGTATGTGTAATCACAAGGCTGCCCCACACTGTCAAGCTTGTCAGCGCCCCACACTTCCCTTGAAGGAGTGAGGTTTAATGCAAGACTGGCTGATAGCTCAATGCCAAGTAATACACGGCCCGAATCACCGGGTTTGTGCTCGCAAGGCTGCCCCACATTGTCAAGCATATCAGAGCCCCACACTTCCCTTGAAGGAGTGAAGTTGAATGCAAGACTGACTCATACCTCACTGCCAAGCGATACACGGCCCGAATCACCGGGTTGTGTTATCACAAGGCTTCCGACAACGCCAAGCACATCAGAGCACCACACTTTCCTTGAAGTACTGAGTTCAAATGCAAGTCTAACTCGTCGCTCTTTGCCAGAAACAGACGCCACGAATCACGGGGTATGTAGACCCAAGCCTTCACCCCGTTATCGAGAATATCAGAGCCCCTCCACTTTCATTGAAGTGCACTACTGAGGTGCGAGGATTGCTCGGGATAGTACTCATAATCCTTCACTTCAAAATGTCAGAGGATTTACACCTCATTCTCAACATGAGAGACAAAGGCCATTGTCGTTAAAACCTCATCATCCATCATGAAGTAACATACAACCATGGAATGGATGCTGTTAGTTCCGTCACTCTGCTCAATCCTTGCCATGTCCAACGTATTTTGAATCACTGCGTTCGGAGTCGCAACATTGCCCCACATTGCAAAGCATACAAGAACCTCAAAATAGACATTATAGGGAATGAGGCTGAATGCGACAAAGACTCATTCCATTGCCAAATAACGGACACTCCGAATCAGCGGGTATGCAGTCACTAGACTTGCCGACATGGTCAAGCACATCACCGGGCAACACTTCCCTTCAACGAGTGAGGTTGAATGCAAGACTGACTCATAGCTCACTGCCAAGCAATACACGGCCCGAATCACCGGGTATGTGTAATCATAAGGCTGCCCCAAATTGTCAAGCATATCAGAGCCCTA